AGACATCACCTTCTTAAAAATGGAACCAAATCACTGGATTCACAACCACCACACTGAGGAAAGCAGCAGACTTGTGATTTCAGTTAGGCGGCTCCATTATCTCTAGGAAGCCTGAGCTTATGGAGAGAGGTGAATGGAAGACAAGGGGAAGTGCCTACTGCTTCTAAAACCCTAACCAAGGGCGCGCCATTTCTATACTAGTTTCACTGTATGCTCAGAAGACTATCAAGTCCCAATTTACGTATTCTCAACTCATCACCTATTAAGAGGTGACTCCTATGTACGATTAAAGTGTCCTAAGAGCAGACGAGGCTCCAGAGGAGTCATTTCTAAGTTTTCATTTCAGCTGAGCTCATCCATCAAAGGTCCTGGCCTGTACCATGCAGCCAGATGACACCTCAAGGCAGCACCATTCACCTACCCTCCCAAAGGTGACAGAGCTCTTGATGCTAACTTACAGGTTCTCACTCTAGTGATGCTACTGAAGACTCTGAACTGGATGAGACTACACCAAACACACAAAGGCTGGAGGAAAAAGAGAGGCGAGGGTGGTACCAGAATTTTATTTCCCTTTCCTGTCAAGTGGATCAGCCTCTGCTAGACTTTCCAGGGAGTCGCATATGGCACTAAATCTTTTTAAGGAATCACTCGTTGATTCAGCAAGGATTCTAGGAAAGGCCAAAGGTAAAGATCACAAAAGGTGGCCCAAGACAGGTGTTGTTTAACCTGCAACATCAGTAGCTAAAACGTTACTGATTTTTTTGTATTAGTTGCTAACGACTAAATATGGGGAGAGAGGGGACAGATGGTGGCACTAAGGTTAAACGTGACACTCTATGAGGCTGACCTATAGAGGAAGGTTCTGGGTTTGTGTCCGGAGACCTCACTGGGAGTGCCAAGCACACATGTGCCCATGTTCCAGCAGAGTAATAATTTGTTCATCCCTCCCTGTACTCAGAGACTTAAGGGAGTCCATACTGACTCTGGGCTGGCCGTATGATTTGCTTTGGCCACTGACAATAACAAACATGACCTAGGCAGACATTTCAAAAGTGCACTCTCTTTACACATGCATGCACACACACACACACACAAACACAAACACACAATGACTAGCCAATGCCAAGTAGAGCTATTAGATTGCCAAGAAAGTCTTGATGTGTTTTCCTACGCAAAAACGCATCATGCCTTTCTCTACGATGCAATAGATGGCCAGCAGTTAACCTCAGACACGTGAGTGAGCCCACCCATGCCCAGCCCAAACTGCCGACCTGCAGAATAGTGACCTAAATAAGTGGTGATTGATTTAAGAAATGCTTTAGTGGTTTTTCTATGCAGTAAAAATTGATGAGTCCCTATAAAAATACAGATTGCCAATTTTAAAAAAGTCTACAGACTTTGCAACACTGAAACCTATGTGGTAACAACCAGCTGATGCAGGCAGTGACTACCACCGTTAGCCCAGTCATGGCATGTATTTCCCAGTTTGTCACTATCACCTCACCAATGCTGGGGTTAGGTTCAGTTGCTATATGTCATCTCGGTTGGGTGTTATTTTATTTATGGTAAAGAAGAAAGAGAAAGATAGTCTACATACTTGAGTTACTATCACAGGTAAAATAACCAGTATGACTCCTTTAGAAAACTGTCAACTGGGACCAGCAGTTAGTGTAATGGCTATGTCGCTGGACTCCCATGTAGTAGATCACAGTTCGTGTCCCAGACCCGGTGGCTTAAAACCCATGCCAGGCGCGTGTGCATACATGCCCAAGATCCCGAGAGGAGAACGGAGGAGAAGGGATTGTGGCATGGCCATCCCCCCTGGGGAGCGATTTCTCACTTTCTGTCTCTCTCTGTCTGGCAAGTGCACACGCCCTATAGCAAAAACCTCTCCAAAAAAAAAAAAGAATAGAAAACTGTCAACCTCTACCCAGGCTGACACATAAATCCCTTATGACCCAGTAACGCCATTCCTAGGTGAATGCTCAAAAAAAAATGTGTACACATTTCCAAAGATGCACAAAATGTTAACAGCAGCACTATTCCTGATAGCCCCAAAATGGCTATTTAAAACTACCTATTGAGGGGGACAACAGATAGCATAATGGTTACGTTGCTGGACTCCCACATGGCTGACTGTAGGTCAAGTCCCAGATCTGGCAGCTTGAAACTCACACCAGGCACATGTGCGTGTGTGCCCAAAATCCCAAGAGGAGAATGGAGAACAGATTGTAGTGTGGTCATCTCCCTTGGGGGAGTGATTTTTCCCCATCTCTCTCTGTCTCTCCTGCGAGAGCACATGCCCTACAGCAAAATTGCTCTTAAATAAATAAAAAAGATTGCAAAATAAAAAACTAGGTATTAGGCCAGCAGGTGGAGGTTAAGGCCCTGGATCCCACATGGCCAGCTGTGCAGTTCTAGTCCCAGACCTGGAGGCTTGAAAATCATGCTAGGCGTGTGTGTGTGTGTGTGAGCGCGCGTGCACGTGTGTGTGCATGTGCACGCGTGCGTGCCCAAAAATCTCAGAGGAGACTGCAGGAAGAAGGGATTGTGACATGGCCATCCCCATGAAGATGACGTCTCACTTTCTGTTACTCTGTCTCTCTCTGGTAAGTAATTGAACCCTATAGCACGAACTAAAAAGGAGATATCGATAAAGCCTATCTACCATAGAATGAGAAAACAAAGCATGGCATATTCACAGGGATCATTCTCAGACATAGTTATGCACAAGAACCCAGACACAAAAGAGTACATGCTGTGGGGCCAGCAGGTGGTGTGGTGGTTAAGGTGCTGGATTCCCCACATGGCCCACAGCAGTTTGACTCCTGGGCCTGGCACCTTGAAAATCACACCAGGCTTTTCTGCATCCATGCCCAAAAGAGAATGAAGGAGAAGGTACTGCAGCGTGGCCATCCCTCCAGAGAGGTAATTTCTCACTTTCCCTGTCATTCTGTCTCTCTCTACTGAGCACATGCACCCTGTGACAAAGACCTTCGGGAAAAGGGAAAAAAAAAAAGAACACACATGCTGTATAATCCCACTTACATATAGCTTCAAAACAGACAAAATGAGGCATTCACAGTCAGGTGAGTGGTTACTCTTAGGTGGAAAAGAACCTGTGGATGTGGGGGATGGGAGCTAGTTCTGACACAGCGTACAGGGTGAGTATCCGTTATTGGTGGCATGGTGGATAAAGCGCTGGGTTCCCACATGGCCAACCGCAGTTAGAGTACCAGACCCAGCGGCTTGTGTAGGCGTGCCCAAAATCCTGGGAGGAGAAAAGATTGCAACATGGTCATCCTCCCATCCTCCCCTGAGAGGTGATTTCTCACTTTCCACCTCTTTCTCCAACTAGCACACATGCCTGAGGGCAAAAACCTTAAATAAATAACAAATAAAGGAACCACTTAAAAAAAAAAAAAAGACAGAAATTCTTAGCACCAGAAGTGTTTCAGATTTAATTTTTTTTCAAATTTTGAAATATCTACATAATGACGAATTAATTTGAGCTTCATACACTTATATATCTAACCTTATAATAACTTCCTAAGGATGTACTACTTTTTTTTTTTTCTTCTTTTGTTTTTTGGAGAGGTTTTTGCTCTAGGGCGCATGCGCTCACCAGAAAGACAGAGACACAAAGAGACAGAAAGCGAGAACTCCCCCCCGGGAGGACAGCCACACCGCAATCCCTTCTCCTCCATTCTCCTCTCAGGATCTTGGGCACGCACGCACACGCGCCCAGTGTGAGTTTAAGCCACCAGGTCCAGGACTCGAACAGCAGTCGACTACATGAGAGTCCAGTGACATAGCCATTACGCTAACTGCTGGTCCCCCTAAAGGTGTACTTCTCAAGACGATGGCAGTCTGTACGTCACACATGTAGCATATACCTAGCCAGGCCACATTTCTAGGCAGTGAAATAATCTACACTTCTCCACTGTTTTTGGTATCGGATGCCTATTCTTCAGAAGTATTACCGTTGAAAAGCCTTGTGAATCAGGATATTAAACCAAAGGGGACTATAAACAAGACTACATCTCAAACTTGCCTGCTCATTCCCATTATCAGCTTTCAGAACTCTTCCATCAGTGACTGATTCAGCAAGTCTGGGGAGGGCCCTGAATTTACTAGGTTGTTGGAAACGTCATGATGCATTTTGGCATAGAAAAACAGAAAAATACATCATGATTTTCCCAGTGATCTACCATTTCGAAAACTACTTATTACATAAAACACCAACTCCTTATTTCTTGAAACAACTTGCCACTTAACAATTATTCTCAACTGAAAAACTACACAGGTTTCCTTAGAACCTAGTTAAATCAAACCATTACAGCCTACTGTCTTGTTCTACTCTTAACCTGAGAGCCAAGGAGGCATACCCAGGTAATCTTGACTCTTCCAACTTTGTGTAGGGGCTATTTTTACGGAGAAAGGGTCTCCAGGTTCCTCCCGTTTCTCCAAGGGACCCAAGCCTCACAAAAAGAACCTTTATCTTAATGATAGCACCCAAAGGAGTCTTCTGCTTTAATTCTTTGAATACATGCACGGTTAAGAAAATTAACTACTACAAACATGATACCGAGCACAGTGAAAATTGCTTCCTATCCATTTCCTGGGTCCTCCTCTCCGAAGGCAACCTGGTAAAAGTTTAGGTATCTATCCTTCCAGAGCAGAACTGCCTAGCTCATACTTACTGATATTGTGGGATGGGTAATTTTTCATGGGCGCTGCCCCCTACATGGCAGGATGTTCAACATCCTGGCCTCTACATACACACACTCGCGTTGAGGCACCCCAAACTGTCTGCAGACACAGCAGAATCTGGGGGACTAGGTCACCCGGTTGACGGCAGCTGTCATGCATGCACCCACCTATGGTATTTCCCGACAACTGGTGGCACACACGGAGAGAACTACTTTCCAACTCCCTACGCGTTTGGAACCAAGGGCGGGGGCCGGCCCGGGGCCCCACAGGAGGCGACGGCCACTCACCAGGTCGCGGATGAGCTGGTCCACCAGCTGCTCCTGCAGCTGCTCCCCACCCCCGGCGCCCTCGCGGGCCGGAGGAGAGCGGGAAGGGCTGGCCGCGTCCTGCTTTTCAGCCCGCGTAGCCCGCGCCACCGGGGGCCGCCCTGCGCCCTCCAGGAGGCCCTGGGCCAGCGCCAGGTACCCCGAAGCCTGCTCGCCGCGCCCCGGCGCCACCTCGGGCCGCCGCCTCTTCCTCTGCGCCTGGGCTTGTGCCAGCTCCTCCTGCCAGCGCCGGCGGAACTCCTCCAGGTTGTGATCGTCCATCGTCGCTGTTCCCGTCCTCCCGTCTTCGTCGGCCCGGCCGGGTGCCACGGGACAGTCCCTCCGCTGGAAGTGTCCGCCGCGGCCGGAAACCACCGGCGCCGCCGCTCTTGAGTTCCGGCTGGCGGCCACGCCCCCGCACGCTGTCAGGTGTACACGTGGCTCCTGGGTTTGAGGTCCCCGGGGCCACGGTCTGCGTTCCGACCCCCCACCGAGTTCTCAGCTTTCCTGCCTGTGACTTTTGCCAGGTGCGGACTTTGGGCCAAGCGTTGTTCTTTCACTCAATAAATATCCACAGAACGACTGCTCTGTGCCAGGCGCTGAAAATTTCTTTTTTAGAAAGAAAAACCTCCCTTTCTCTTTGACGCTTCCATTCAAGTGGGAGGGGAAACGTAAAATGAATGTGTAAGAATAACTGAATGTGTTAGGTGTTATGCAAAAAAAAAAAAAAAACAAGATAAGGTTGGGAACAGCAGACAGCATTATGATTACAATGCTGGACTCTCACGTAGTCGACTGTGGTTCGAGTCCTGGACCTGACAGCTTAAAACAAAGTCCCAGAGGAGGATCAAGAAGGGATTGTATGGGAACCAGCAGTTAGCGTAATGGCTATGTCGCTGGATTCCCACGTAGTCAACCGCGGTTCGTGTCCCGGACCCGGTGGCTTAAAACTCACGCCGGGCGCGTGTGCATGCGTGCCCAAGATCCCGAGAGGAGAATGGAGGAGAAGGGATTGCGGCGTGACCATCCCCCCTGGGGGGTGATTTCTCGCTTTCTGTCTCTATGTCTCTCTCTGTCTGTCTGGCGAGCGCACGCGCCCTATAGCAAAAATCTCTCTCTAAAAAAAAAAATGAAGTAAATAAAATAAAAGATAAGGTGATTGGCAAGGGGTGGTGACTAAGGATTAAGAAGACAAGGTGAAAACCCGGCCAAGGAGATGTCAGTTAAACTAACAGCTAAATGAGGAGAAAAAACAGCCCTGCGAAGATCAGCTCTCAGGACCGAAGAACTACAAACACTAGTTTCAGTCATTCCCACAGAGGATCATCCGAATGACCTAAGTCCTAGTCCCAACTCTTAATTGTAGGGGTGAGGTGGAAAAGAAAGCAACATATGATGGCAGTCCATCTTCAAGATGTTTTGTACCTGCCCTTCCCTCTACAGAGAAGTTTTCCTTCCCACTTTGACCTGGCCAACTCCCACACATCTATCTAAACTCACATAGGAGGTCCTCGGAGGAAAAGAGCACCTCCCCATGGGGCGTGGCCACACCTCCAAACTTTCTCCATTTCTCCATCATGTAGCATGTTTCAAACGCCACTGCCGTCAGGACCCAACCACAGTCAGCCATGTAGGATCTGGCTCCCCAGCCACTAGACGAAGTGGCCAGTTCCATTGTATCTGTTCTTTAAAGAATTATTTACTTACTTAAGTTTATTTGTTGTTACTATTATTTTTTAATTTAACCAGAGAGAGAGACAGAGAAAGAGAGAAAGGGAAAGTGAGAAAGCAAGCCACGAGCTCTGGAACTCAAACCATAGTTGGCCATATGGAAGTCCGGCTCCTTAACCGCCATGCCACCTGCCGCCACCACCTCCCCCCCATTGTATCTTAAAAAAAAGAAAAAGAGTTTAGCTAGATTATTTAGAGAAGGCTACTAAATCAAACACTTTGGGGGTGCAACCCCAGAAATCTGGTTTAATTGGTCAGTCCAGGTGATTTTGATGCACAATCAAGCTTCAACCATTCTCACAGAACATCATCTGAATGACTATAAATCATATTCCCAGCCCTTGATGTGGTGAGGGTTCAATGGACTGGATTCTCAGGACCATGTGAAGTGAGAGAGGCAGAGTCCCCCCTAGACAGAAGGGGAGGAGGGGAGAAACTCAAACATTTGCAAGGGGGACTCTGGGAATGTAGTCTTAGTGTCTCTGATGCTTCTGGAGTCTTCTCTACCCATTGTAGTGTGTTCCTCTAGGAATTCCCAGTTCAACTTCTCCCAGAGCCCCAGAAAAATGGCCAAAACAAGGCCACTCTTGAACACTCTATGAGCTCAGTCCAAACTTCCTTCCGCTTGCATTAAGAAGTCTGTAGCTCTGGTGAGCCGAAACTGGAGGATCATACTGTAAAGGGGATCCCTAATATGCAAGGAACACCAGGAAGTAACAAGTAACCGGATAGGAGAAACGGTGATGAGGGTCAGCAGCACTGACACAGAGTTAACGCGACGCCCTGTGATGCTGGACTCACACGGAAAGCCCAGGTTTCTCGTCGGAGGTCTCCCTGTACACCACAGACGGTGACAGGGTCCTGTCACTCCATGATCCGCCCCCCCAACTCTCCAACTCATCAGGATCCTGGACATGCACACATGCACCTGGCATCTTCAGAAGGACCTCAGAATTTGAACTGCAGACTGCAATGTGGCTTTCAGCTCTGCAGTTCAGCTTGTCAGCAGGCGGGGCCTATTCATTATATACGTGTCTTGTGTGTCTCTCCCGTTACAATGTGGGTTCCCTGACGGGGAGGGTCACATCTGTCTTGTCCATCTCTGTATTTTCAGCCCTTTATCGATGGATTCAATAAAACTTTGGTTTGTTGAGTGAATAAACAAACGAATTAGTGAGTCAGTGATAGAGCTTAGAGAAAGTAGATGTTTCTGAGATTTGTATCCACACATTGTAGATGCTCAATAAATATTGGTATTGCTGATAAGGCTGCAAGTAATAAAGGTGTGCACAACTACACACACACACACATACTCACGGAGTAGGAAAGAGAAAGATGAATTAACATCTTTAAGAAAGAAGAGGGAGGTGTCTCCTGCTGCAGCTTCGGGAGTGGGAGTACCAGGAGCCGGGCTCGGAGCTAGATGCCGCAGACGGTTTCGAGAAAATGGCAGACAAGCCGGACATGGGAGAAATCGCCAGTTTAGATGAGGCCAGGTGGAAGAAAACGGAGACGCAGGAGAAGAACACCCTGCCGACCAAGGAGACCGTTGAGCAGGAGAAGCAAAGTCAAATTTCCTAGGCGCCTGGAGGGTTCCCCACCCTGTCATCTTCGAGTCCCGAGTCTGATGTGGAGGAGGAGCCACCTGCAAGATGGACTCAAGCCGCGGACTGCGCTGTGAACCGCCCCCACCCCGGCACTCCGCGCCCATCTCATCCGCCTGTGGGTCTTTGAGGGGCCTCCCCAAATTCTCCGGTGTGCCCTGGGGTATTATAGAAATTACTTGCATGATTAACGAAAATAAAACACACCTCAGTGGCCAAAAAAAGAAAGAAAGAAGGGGGGCCGGCAGGTGGCGGTGGTTAGGGGTGCTGGATTCCTACATGGCCGAATGAGGTTCGAATTCCGGACCTGGCTTGCTTTGTCACTTTTCCTTTCTTTCTCTGGTCAAAATTAAATAATAATAATAATAACAACAAATAGAATGAAATAAACAATTCTTAAAAAAAAAGAAAAAGAAAAGAAAGAAGAAAGAAAGAAAGAAAGAAAGAAAGAAAGAAAGAAAGAAAGAAATGGAGGACCAGAGGTGGTATAATAGTGACATCACTGAACTCCCATGGAGTTGACAGCAGTTCAAATCCTGGACCCGGTGGCTTAAAATTCATGAAGGGCATGTGTGCATGTGTGCCCAATATCCTGAGAGGAGAATGGAGGAGAAGGGATTGTGGCGTGGCCATCCCCCCATGGCTGGTTTCTCACTTTCTGTCTCTCTGTCTCTCCAGTGAGCACATGTGGCCCACAGAAAAAAATCTCTTTCTCTCTCTCTCTCTCTCTCTCTCTCTAAAAAAAAAGGGGGGGAAGTTTGTTATTAGTATACATCGCATAAATCTCGAAACACAGATGCCCATGCAGGAGATAGAACTGTTTGGTCTCTTCTACTTTGCAATCAGCCAAAGAGACAATTCTTCATTCCCTTTTCATCGAAAAGCCATTCTGAGTACTTTGGTGGACTGAGCACTCATTACAGGTGACACACAAGTAGCAGGAAAAATAGGAAATCAAACATCTGAGCCCTAAGTTGGGATTCATATGGGCACTTCCTAGCAGTAAAATACCCAAAGTCTCTCAGATTTTTTTTTCTTTTTTTGGAGAGGTTTTTGCAGGGCGTGTGCATTCGCCAGACAGACAGAGACAGAGAGACAGAAAGTGAGAAATCACCCCCCCTCCCCAGGGGGGATGGCCACACCGCAATCCCTTCTCCTCCATTCTCCCCTCAGGATCTTGGGCACGCACGCACACGCGTCCGGCGTGAGTTTAAGCCACCGGGTTTACAGAATGAATGAAAGGATGAACGTTGAATGCCAGTAAGTAGTGTAGGCCCCATGTTCTCTCCCATTCTTCTGCAACCTCATCTTTCTCCACATTCCTAGCATCAAAACCCATATGATCATCAAATGTTGATGATCAGCACATACATCATACAAGGCCCTGGGCAGACACAAAGATTAACTGTACCTTCCTTGAGGCATTTTCTGTCTAGCTGGGAAGGCAGGTCACAGCCATCAAAACAAAACTAACGGGACAAAAGTCGCCACAGAAATGGAAGGGAGGCTTTGGGCCAAAAAGTTGTATTCTAGGGATTTGGGGCAGTTTGGAGCTGGAGGAATGGGTCAGGTACCGGGCAAGTTGGATCTGGAATCTCGCTTTAAATAATGAGTGATTGGAAAAGAACGAAGTAGCAGCCATGCTGAAACGATCCCTCTTTCTAAAACTCATCGCTTCAGGAATAAATGGGTGGAGAGTAAATGGGTCCATAGGAATTCAAAGTACTAAGCTCTGGGGCTGGCAGGTGGCATGGTGGTTAGGGGTGCTGGTTTCCCACAGCACTGACCATGGTTCTAGTCCTGGACCTGGCGGCTTGCTCTCTCACTTTCTCTCTCTCTCTCTCTCT